AAGGGACGGCATATAAGGTCACTGTTTCAGAGAGAACGCTGAGGAAAGACCTCATCCAAAAAGTAGCATGGGAGCAGGCACCTGGGTGACTGAGGAAGCCACCAGTGGCGCAAACCAGAAAAGCCCAGAGGTGGAAATATTTAGATGAGCTACTGGAAGGTCTAGGAAACTGGGACATTGCAGTGAGTGGGTAACTGAGCAGAGAGGATTAGGTGCAGAGGTGAGTGGGCAGGGTTGAGGTGGGGTAGGCCTAGAGAGCCTTGCTGGTAATGCTGGAGAGTTTGACCTTTGCTCTCCCAAGTGTGACCTGAAAGTTCTAGGAGTGACTCCAGCTTTGAATTGTGAGGAGATCAAGACTGAAGGAGTGTGATGCGCTTGCTCATGAAGATGAGAGGGGAGGCAGGGAACTCGGTGGGGGTTGAGGTGGAAGCCCGTCTGATAGAAGCTGAAGGCTGAGTCAACTGAACTGAACTTGCTCCAGAGCGGGAGGTGGGGAATACAAGACAAAAGAATCACAGCTGACTCAGACAGATGTCCTTAGTTCCCAGGTACCATCACTGAGCTGCCAGGGTGGAGGAAAGGAGATATTAGGGGATGTCGAGATTCTAGTTTAAGACATGTTTGCTTCCGGGCGCCACTAGATACCCAAGAAGAAACTTTGAATTGGTAGGTAGACATATGAGCTGGGCTCTCAGGAAAGCCTGCCACAGTCTCACACCTGCTAGGCACAGAGGTGAATATAGTACAGGCTGGGGGCAGGGTTGAAAGGGATATTCTTTTCTGGTTTGTATTTTTTAGAAACATGCATTTAAGAACATGCTAGTGGTGCTGGACACAGTAGCTCACACCTGTAACCCTTGCTAGTCCAAAGGCAAGAGGATCGGAATGTAGGGAAACCCTGTTTAAATAAATTATAATATTGATAACTGGTGACAATAGGAGCCAGTGAGATGACTCACTGGGTAAGAGTAGTTGCTGCCAAGCCTGGCAACTTGAGTTTGATCCCCAAATAACGAAGAACAGCTGTCCTCTGACCACACCCCTACTGTGGCGCACACACATACACAATACACATATGTAAATGTAAAATTATTTAAAAAACAAGTTGGGAAAAGTGTTGCATGCCTGCAGCCCCATCTGCTTGAGAGGTGAGATGGAAGGATCTCTTTAGCTTAGGAGTTTGAGATTGGCCCTGTTAATATAGCAAAGGCCCCTGTGTCAAAAAAGAGATGAGAGGGGTGTTTGGGGCTGGAGAGACCTCAGTGGTTGAGAGTTCTAACTTCTCCTTGAGAGGACCCACATTCCATTCCCAACACCCACATGGTGGCTAACAGCTGTCTGTCACTCCTGTTCCAGAGGATCCAATGTTTTCTTCTGGCTCCTCAGCTACTGTGTACACATGATGCACAGACATGCTTGCAGGCAAGACATTTAAACACATACAACTCAATTTCCAGCGCCCACATCAGGCAACTCACAACCACCTGTAAGTCATGCTCCAGAGACCTAGCACTCTTTAATGGTCTCCACGGGCACTGCACTCATGTATACATACTCCCTCACCCTACATGTACATGATTACAAGTAAAATAAATTTAAAATTTAAAAATGTTAGAGACTTGTCAGCCCAGCACTCAGGAGGCAGAAGCAGGCCAGTCTGATACAGAGCTACACAGAGAAGCCCTGTCTTGTTTAAAAAAAAAAAAAAAAAAAAAATTGTCAGAGGCTAGTCTTAGTCACTGTTCTGTTGCTGTGAAGAGACACCATGACGGCAACTCCTATCAAAGAAGACATTTAATTGGTGGTTGCTTTCCGTTTCAGAGGCTCAATTCATTTGCATCATGGCAAGGGGAGTGGCATCGTGCAGTAGATAGACAGGCATGGTGTTGGAGAACTGGCTGAGAGCTAAATCCTGATCCTCAGGCAGCAGGGAGAGAGGGAGCCTGTGCCTGGGACTTGGAGTGTCCTGGGCTTCTGAAACTCAAAGTCCACCTCCAGTGACACCCCTACTCCAACAAGGCCACAGCTCCTCGCCCTTCCTAAGAGTCCACCAGCTGAGAACCAAGAATTCACACACATGGGCCTATGAAGGCCAGTCTCTTTCAAACCACAATTGACCATAGGGGCTGAGAGTGGAGCTGAATAGCTGAGCCCTTGACTACAAAGCCCGGGGCTTGCTCTCCAGCACTGCAAAAGAAACAAATAAATGGAGGTATGTTAGTTCGTGTCTAAGCAGTCCATGTTCGTTGAAAAACAAAAATAAAAACAAACAACAAAAAAAAACCCCCAAAACTTTAGGAAGCACAGACAAAAAAAGCAAAACCCGAATCACTTCATTTTTAGGGTTAGGGTTAGGGCATCACTATTGGTACATATATAAAGTGTATTTGTTTTTAAATATCAGGATCACATGACCCTTGAGGTTCTGTAATCTGCTTTTTTTTTTCACTTAGTTTATTGTGGATAGTTGATACCTGTGTAACTATTGAAGTAGCAAGAAAAAAATAGAGGAAAGGAATTCTGGAAGTGCTCAACAGAGTGCTATGTGTGCCCACGGCTACCTGAGGTCTTAGGGGGAGCTGAGAAAGGCAATGGAGGAGTTGGGCTAGAGCAAGGGCTCATGCTATTCCCACCACAGCCCTGCCCATACCAACTGTGTGTCAGCTGCAGCTCCCATTCCAGATAGCCTGGTGCTGCTGGTCCCGTGGTAGGTGACTGGATCTGAGGAGTGCAGGACACACTTCCCTCTCCACTTGCTGTGTGTGTCTTTGCTGACTCAGCTCCGGGCTGGAACTGGCTGCAGAGGCCTCCATCTCACTCATTCATCTGAAGCCCTTACTGACAGCTGCTTCTTGCCTCCTTGATCCAGGGGCATTTCGTGTGATGCAGCATCAGATCCTGCCCTTCAAGGAGTTATAAGTGGGCCAGGGCATAGCCAGACCCTACTCTCAATTGCCCATCAGCCCATATTACAGAGGAGGAGGCAGACTAGAAGAGGTCAGTGGTTTTCCTAGGTGTATTCTCTCTCTCTCCCTCCCTCTTTCTCTCTCTCATACACACTCAAGTGTGTATGCATGCTTGAGCAGAAATAAAGTGGAAAGAGATCTGGACTGGGCATGGTGTTGCATACTTGTAATCCTAGAACTCGGAAGATTGAAACAGGATGAAGACAGAGTTCAAAGCTAGCCTGGGCTACATAGCAAGACCCTAACAAAAATTAACAAACAAAAGAACAACTCCTGGGGCACATACAGGAATGCAGGTCCAAAGGGGAGTCTGTAGAGGGGGCCAGGAGGAGTCAGAGGTTCTGAGGAACAGCTAGAGTGTGTTTGGCTGAAGGTGTGCAGAGGCTCTGATGGCAAGGCAACAATAGAGCTCTGAGGACATGTAGGAAGTCTGGAGGGTCAAGACACTTTGATGCATTTCCAGGGAATAAGTTCATTCCTTTGTAGATGAAAGTTTCTGTCCTTCCTGGTCCTTCAACCCTTTAGTCCCAAATAAACACACAGAGACTTATACTAAGTATAAAGTATTTGGCCTATTGCTCAGGCTTATTACTAACTAGCTCTTACAACTTAAATTCACTCATAATTCTTATCTATGTTTAGCCACATGGCTTGGTACCTTTTCTCAGTAAGGCATTCTCATCTTGCTTCCTCTGCATCTGGCTGGCTACTCACTCTCTGCCTTCCTCTTCCCAGAATTCTCCTAGTCTGGTAGCCCTGCCTATACTTCCTGCCCGGCTACTAGCCAATCAGTGTTTTATAAAACCAATACAAGTGACAAATCTTTACAGTGTACCAGAGCATTATTCTACATCATTCCTTCTGGGGTTTTCTGGGGGCAGGTGCATGCTTAGCGTGCCTTGTTCCAAGAGCCCACACTTTCCTCACTATGCCTGCAGCCCTCCTGTGTGTATGCATGCCTCAAGGCACCTGCTTATAGACTCTCCCCACTTCCTCTCTACCGGGGGCTCCTGGCTCCAATCTCAGATCAGCCCTGGAAAGGCTCGGCAGCCTTGGGTGAACCCCTTTCCTGCTCTGTGCAATTGTTTCTTCATGTGCACCTGACCACAAGGGAAATAAATGTTGGATGAGTTATGTTCTAGAGTTTGTTTCTAACAGGGCCGCTTGGTAGCTTCACACTGCCCACAGGGTAGTTCCAGGCCTTTGCCCCCGGCTGGCTCCTCACTACCTGATCCTCCTTTCCTTTCCTTCGCCCATGTTGCTGCTCCCATGCCTTCTCTGTCCCCTTTCGTTTTTGTGGTGTGTGTGTGGTCACAAGTGTGAATGCCTGTACTCGTGGACGCCAAAGGAGAACATCGTGTGCCCTGTGATATCATTCTCTGCCTTATTCCCTTGAGACGGGGTCCTTCAGTGATCCCGAAGCTGAACTGACTGGCCGCTGAGCTGCTGCGATCTGTCCGTCTCTGCTCCCAACACTAGGGCTATGGACACATGTGGTCATGCCCAGCCTTTTTATGTGTGTATTCGGGGTTCAGACAGGGGCCCTTAAACTCGCACAGTAATCCTTGTCACTGCTGAGTCACCTTCCCAGCCCCTCTCTTTGCTGACTCATTGTGAATTCCACAAAAACACGGAGGCAGAGCAGCTGTCCTTATTTTTCAGTTGAGGCTACAGCTTCTGAGCTCTGTTGACCTCTGGAACACTTTACTCGGGCCTTAAAATGGAGCCTGGAGCCAAAGCTAGTGGGTGGCTGAGCCTGGGACACTGAGCCTCTATGTTCTCTTGCTAACCCAGACAAAACTGGGAGGCCTCCTCCCTGTGCTCAGTCACACCAGGGTTCTCCCGAGAGGGCTTGGGAGGTGTCCGCTCCCAGCAGCCTGCAACTTGCCGATCCATGACCCTATAGTTTTGATTCTGTTTTCCAAAGACTTCTACCCAAATAGTGAGTCTCCTGACTCTGCAGCCCCTGCCAGGGGACTCTCGGTTACCCTCTCCCTCAGCCATCTAACCTTCCCTGTCATGCTCCAATTGCAGATTTTTGCTAGTCTTCAGCTGCCTGGTGCTATCCGTGCTGTCCACTATTCAGGAGCACCAGGAACTTGCCAACGAGTGTCTCCTCATCTTGGTGAGTGCTGGGAGTCCCCTTAAAGTCTACTCTGAGGCAGAGCAGCAAATGAAACCTCACCTCTGCCCTGAGGAGAGAGGCCTCCTAGACTGTGGTCAGAGAGCAACTGCTGCCTCTCTGACCATCATTCCTGCCTTTATAGCTGGTGTAGGGAGATCCCCTGTTCTATGTGAGGCCTGAGGAGGAGCCCAGGATAGACTTAAGTGTGTAGGCTCCACTCTGTACCAGAATACAAACATCACCTTGTTAAAACAACTCCAACAGAAGGTCTTCCAACAACAGAGAGCCACTCTTGATGTGGCTCAACCAGGGCTGAGTCTATAATGGTTGGAAAGCGGAGGGCAGGGAAACAATCCAGGCGTCTTATGGAGCTAGACACTTGTGTATGGGGGCAGCCTTGGGCTTCTGTTCTTCCTAGAGGACAAAGAGGTCACCTCCCTTCTGGAATCCTCTCAAATCCTTCCAGGTATAAGAGGGACCTAACCAGGTGCTGGTGTTCCTAACCCAGGGTTGGGCTCTGATCTGGGTCCTGGTCCCCACAGGAATTCGTGATGATTGTGGTCTTTGGCTTGGAGTATATAATCCGCGTCTGGTCGGCTGGCTGCTGTTGCCGCTACAGAGGATGGCAGGGCCGCTTCCGCTTCGCCAGGAAACCTTTCTGTGTCATCGGTATAAGCCTTCCCTACTCTGCCCCACCCCAAGCCTCAGGGCGGCATTTTGGTCCCCTCCTTGACCCCATCCTGGTTTCTCATTAATTTAATGGCCCCTCCCAATCTGCACCCCCCACCACCGCTGCATTATGGTCCCAGGAGTCCCAGAGCACTGGTCTTGACTCAAGGTGGGATGGTGACTTTGACATCCTTGTTGTGCAGATTTCATCGTGTTCGTGGCCTCGGTGGCAGTGATCGCTGCGGGCACACAGGGCAACATCTTTGCCACGTCCGCGTTGCGCAGTATGCGCTTCCTGCAGATCCTGCGCATGGTGCGTATGGACCGCCGTGGCGGCACCTGGAAGCTGCTGGGCTCTGTGGTCTATGCACACAGTAAGGTGAGGCTGGGGAAGGGTGGGGGCAACGAAGCACCTGGACATTACCTAAGGTGAAAGCAAGAGGTGGAGCTGGGGTGGGACCAACGCTGGGGCAAGTGGGAACTGCAGCCAAGCCGGGTGGCCTTGTCAGGGACTAATGGGGGCCTACACTGGGGCAAGAACAATTATGGCTTGGAAGGGGCGTGGCCTGTCTGAGGTAATGAGGTAAGGGTAGAGCCTAATAGTGAAAGATCTGAAGAGGGGTCAGGGCCCACTCTGGGGTAAGGGGCAGGGATCCAGCGGCTGGAGCCAGCAGGAGCCTGGACTTAGGTGGGGCCTGAGAGGTAGGGCTTAAGGATCACATCTGCCAGTCCCGTGGTTTGAAGAGGACTGCTCCCAGTGGAATGGGGAACTGCGTAGGTCCAAAGCATGGAGGCTGGGAAGGGATCAGACGGATTGAAGCCTGGAAAGATTAAGGATAGGCCTGGGGTCTGGCTCTAGGGGGTTCTGAGAAGTCTGGGCAAGAACTCCTTCTTGGAAGGGAGCAACTGTGTAGCCTCATCCCCTGACAGGCATCCGTCCCCCTTCCCTCAGGAGCTGATCACCGCCTGGTACATTGGATTCCTGGTGCTCATCTTCGCCTCTTTCCTCGTCTATCTGGCTGAGAAGGATGCCAACTCTGACTTCTCCTCCTATGCCGACTCGCTCTGGTGGGGGACGGTGCGTGAGGGTCTGTGCAGGTCCGCCCTTCCCCCTAGGCACTTCCCTGGACACAGCTCCCCAACCCGGGCTTATCTCATCCTTGTCTCTCCACACTAAGGTTGGGGCTCCCGAGGGCTGTCCCTATGCTAGCTATCCCCTACCTACTCTGATGGACCTTGTTTGTGCCCCCACATCCAGTCCTTCACTGGGCCCTTGTGACTTGTGACTTGTACCGCTTTTCCTTAACTAGCGTGAGAACCCATCTGTACCCCTCCAGCCTCTGAGAAGTCCTTGAGCTCAGTCCCTGGGGCCACTATAGGAGCTTGTGGGTGGGGTTGGAGAGCCCTTGTCATCAGCTTTCTACTTGCACTTGTGCTGCACCTCCGAGCCCTTATGGCTACCCCTGTGCCCAGTCCTGTGGGTAACCTGTTTGTATCTTCAGATTACACTGACGACCATTGGCTATGGTGACAAGACGCCACATACATGGTTGGGCAGGGTTCTGGCTGCTGGCTTCGCCTTACTGGGCATCTCCTTCTTTGCCCTGCCTGCCGTGAGTTCTCTGCTGGTTGGTGAGGGAGGCTGGGGCCAAGACCTGACTAGCCTATCCTAAATTTGCCTTGGGCAACATGGGGTTCCTCAGATGGGCAGGTATGGGAACATGTTAGTAGCCTCTTGTCCTCCTTCGTACATTACCTGCAACCATGCCCTATCCCCATAGGGCATCCTGGGCTCTGGCTTTGCCCTGAAGGTCCAGGAGCAGCATAGGCAGAAGCACTTCGAGAAGCGGAGAATGCCAGCAGCCAACCTCATCCAGGTACACGATGCTTAGGAGGCTGTGTGCTTCTCAGCCCTGTGTGCTGACCCATGTGTCCCAACTTAAAAACTGCAGCAACTCTTATAAAGGAAAAACCATTTTATTGGGGTGACTCACTTACAGTTTCAGAGGTTCAATCCAGGAGCATGGCGGCATGCAGGCAGACAGTAGCTGAGAGTCCTACATCTTACAGGCAACAGGAAGTCGACTGACTCATTGGGTGCTATCCTGAGCATAGGAAACCTCAAAGCCTGTCCCACAGTGATACACTTCCTCCAACAAAGCCACACCTCCTAAAAGTGCCACCCCTATGGATTATGGGGTCCAATTACATTCAAACTTCTATGGTAGGGGTAGGGGGTCACGTGCCACATTACAGACTGAGCTGGAATGCTGACCAGCATTACCAGTAATGTCCCCTGCAGCAAATATCTGGTTTCAGATGCTCTAGAGCCATCCTGTTGCCAGCTGTGGCCATGACCAGGGATGGGGAGAGCCTGGATAAGAGGCCCCCATCTCCTAGTGGAGACCTAACTCTGCCATCTTAAAACTGCATGGTTGTCTGTTAGCTTGTTCCATTCCCGGCACTGTGTCCTCAGGAAGTCATACAATAAGAAAACGGTACCAAGTTGGACTTTTCGAATTGCCAGCATTTACTGGGCAGGCGAGAAGGGAGCCAGCCAAGGTAATAGAGGGGGAGTGGCCAGAGATGGGGGGAGCAGGTGTAGGAAGCCAGGGGTATGTGATTTCAGCTCCCCTCAGTGTGATGGACTAGATGTGAGTGGGCTCTGATCTGTGACCCTGTCACTGCCTTGGCCTCTCTCCAGTGTAGGGGCATGCAGGGGAACTCCCCACAGGAAATAGTTGAGGAATGCTGACACAGCACACCTCTGCCTGCTCCCCAGCCCACCATCCTCTGACCCCCAAATCTGAGCCTGACTCGGCCCCCCTTATCTCTCCTTCCCAGGGTAGAACCCGTCTCCCTCCCTGCTATCTCTGACTACCAGCCCAGCCTTTTCTTCTTAGTGTCCCTTGGGGCACAATGGCCACTATCCTCTGGGAGCTGGCCTCCCGAGGGGCATTGTAGGGGCAGGCAGCTGGCACTGTCCCTGCTGAGAGACAGCTGGTATTGTGGTACCTATAATTAATGAGAGCTCTGGCAGCTGCTCCCCGGCCCATGCCAGGGACCCAGGCAAGCAGGAAGTAAAAATATTTCTGTCTTAGGAAGGCGCCAGGCTGGTGAGGTCACTCATGGCAAGCCCTTAAGGGCAAGAGGCACCCAAAGGAGGGGAAGCATCCGGGGCTGCCCCAATTCTGCTTCGTCCTGTCTAACAGTCTCCATATCTCCCTGCCCTGGTGGGTCACTTCATTCGGTCCTTCCTTCCCAGACTTTCTACCTGGATGAAGAGAGACGGTTTTTTCCCTCATCAGACCATAGTTCCTTCTGCTCCAGAGTCCATGATTGTTGAAGAGTTTGTGGTCAATAATCTTCCCTGCTCTCCCTCAGGCTCTAGTAGTCCCATGGTAGCAGTAGGCAGCTGATGAAAATACAGCGGAGCCATTGTTTGTAAAGCCATTCACTTAGTCAACACTCCCTCCCCGAACATTTGCAGAACCACCTGCATGTGCCAGATACTGTACTTGGCACTGAGGATGCAGAGGTGCCCAAGATTCAGCTTACGAAGAAAGACACTAGCCAGACACTGTGAATGTGTTCTTAGCTAAGGGAGCTAGAGGGAGGGCTTAAAGAACCAGGCTGCAAGTGTGCCAGGCACAGCTTGGCACTGGATAGATGCTTGTCCATTTCATCCTCACAACACTATTAGGTCAACAGTCCCCACTCTATTCTACATGGAAGAATGGATTAGAAGCCCGTGCCTGCCTGACCAAAGACCCCAACTCTTCCCCAGTGTTTGTAGGCCCCTGACTCTGGTACTGACTTACTGGGTCACCTTGAGGAAGTCATTCCTAGGACTTGGTTCCTTGGCTGGACCTGCTGGTGGCTATGGAATTAGACTTGGCCTCTGGTCCTGGTGTCACTCTTAGCTGGCCTGGGACTAGGTTCCCTCGGGCAGAGGGCTGGTGGGTGGCTAAGGACTTCTGTGACACCCCATTCCCCCCATGCCTCCAGGCTGCATGGCGCCTGTACTCCACTGACACAAGCCGGGCCTACTTGACAGCCACCTGGTACTACTATGACAGTATTCTCCCATCTTTCAGGTAGGTGCTCCTGGAATGGGAGCGGGTAGGGGCTGGCTTTAATGCCCCTCGAGAAGATGCCCTCAGGGTTGAGAGAGGAGATTGCTCCCAACAGAGCATTTGGGACTGGCACTTCAGGTCCTGCATAACTTGGAGTCTGGTTGGTTCTCTCCCCAACCCTTCTGAGTCCATTGGGCTTAGGGTATTGGTGCAGCTTTGCCTTGAGGCTGAGTCCCACTCATGGAATGCTGGGAGTCTACATACTGGGAGTCTCTATCTTCTCTCATTCCTGAGTGGGGGCTCATTAGCTTGTCCCAATCAACGTATCGCTGGTTAGAGAGGATGCTATGACAGAAACATGTGTGCCTGCCTCCAGAGCCCTTGTGTTTGACTGTGTGGCCCCTGCTACTCTGAGGCCTCTGAGTACCAGCAATGGGTCTGTTCTGCTGGCCCAGGCTGGGCTCAGGCTCAATGGGGGCGGCTCTGTGCCGGGGTTATTAATAGCATCATCAAGGTGCGTGGAGCCAGGTGCCTGGCCAGGCCCTGGGGCAGGAATGAAGACTGCAGAGCCGGCTCGGTTGGCTCAGTCCCACGGGCAGGATGGCATGGAGCTCGTGCTGGTCTGGGCTGCTGTGCTCAGCGCTTCTCTCTGCTCTTTGCCTCATTAGTTGTCCTCGGGCAGCTGTTGCGTGATCCCACTTGCCCGAACCCGCACCTGGCCCCTCTTGCTCCCTCCCTGTCCTACAGGCTTCCCAGGGGAGGAGCAGGAGGTATGGGCTGGAAAGGGGCTCCCCACATCACTCCTCCCTCGTCTCCACACTTGGTGAAGGCAAGCTCCTACCTCAGAGGGAGAGCTGGAGGCTGGATTTGAAGCAGTCCATTTTGAGGGGAGGGGGAATGGTCTAAGGAATCAAGGCCAAGCAAGAGAGGGAGCAGAGACTGGATGCTTAGAAATTGCTGTGGAAGTCGGGAACTCTGGATGGGGTAGCCTGGGTTTCCTGGTGAGAGGAACAGAGTCTGGTCTGGAGATCTGGGCTCCGTTGGAAAGGCAGGTGAGGGGTATGGGGTGGCTACCTTCCTGGTTATGGCAATAGGAAATGGCCAGGAGAGTTAGTGGATAGCCAACCCAATCCCATCCCCAGGAACTCCGTGGTAAGAGGAACAGCACCAGACAGGGAAGCTGGGCTGGCCGCCCTATTAAATCTGTCTTCAGCTCCAGTTTCCTCCTAAAATCCAAGTCAGGCTGGGAGACTAAGGATTTCAGAGCTGCTGATGGCTGCTTGGTAGCACAGTTCTGAGATGAAGAGCAGAGTCAGCTAGATCTGAGCTCCCTCTTGGTGTGGGTGCTTTGGAGTTGTGCCCAATCTACACAACCATACCTAGACTCCTTCCGATTTCCCAGAAACTTCTGCAGAGGGGGGAGGAAGCTAGCCTCTCCACCCTGCCTGTTCTGGCCTGGGGTATTTGTGAGCACCCTCAGAGTGTGTCTCAAGACTTGGCAGGATCTGAGCTCAGTAGCTCTGGGCCCACTGGGTGAGGTGGGTGGTGTCCCCAAAGCCCTGCCTGTAGCTGATGGCGCCCTCTCCTGCAGAGAGCTGGCCCTCTTGTTTGAACACGTACAACGGGCCCGCAATGGGGGCCTACGGCCCCTGGAGGTGAGGCGGGCGCCAGTACCCGATGGAGCGCCCTCTCGCTACCCGCCCGTTGCCACCTGCCACCGGCCGGGCAGCGCCTCCTTCTGCCCCGGGGAAAGGTAGGGGCCCCCAGAGGCCACCACCTCCTCTTGCTTCTCCTCTCCCTTTTCCATTTTCTGTCTCAGCCTCTCTCAGACCTCTTCCAGCCACCACATGGGTGTATGGACCTGTTTGGGGGAAATCTCTGGCATTGTTGTGAGGCCTGATAGTTGTCGTCAGATGGCCAGACAGGTACAGGCAGGGTCATCTCTAGAGAGGCTACACTGGACTTACCGTTGCTCTGTTCTCTGGGTCTCCCAGGGTCTGAGAGGGAGCGCTGTCCACACCACTCTCTCCTGTCACCTCCACCGTTCATACCATTGTCCTCTTTCTTTCTCTGTCCCACGTGTCTCCCCCACCCCATTCTCCCATCCCTGCATCCCCATCCCTCCCGGGAAGCTGGAGAGAGGAGGAGGCCGCTGGCCCCAGGTGCTTACGGCTCAGGTAATGGAGGGTGCTTTTCTGTTCTGGGGCGCGAGGGCAGGGACCCCCTCCCCCGGCATGCTGCTGTTCACGGGAAGCAGATGCTTGCTGGAAGAGAACTCTGTGACTAAGACTGCTACAGGACCTGTGTAAAACCCTGCCAGCGACTAACACGTTCGTCTCTGCAGCTCTTGTCTGCAGCTTTTTTAGAGTAGGGGGGGGGATTGTCCCCCTGGGGCTCTCTCCTTCTGTACACTCTGAGACACTCACTCTTTGCTGTCCCCAACCCTCTCTCCCAACTTGATCTGGAGCTTTTGCCCGTTGAAAGGAGAATCAAGATGGAACGATACTTGCTCCGTCTACATGTTCCTAGCTGGAGGGATCCTAGACATGTTAGGGTAATGGAAGCCCCTCCTCATGTCTTGCTTCTGTGAAGGTTTAGATTTGAGGTCAAGGGTCAGTTCAGTCCCTGCATGTCCTCCCCTGATTTACCCATCTTTTTTCCTTTGCCTCATCCCACACATCATCTTTGAACTAGCCAGGTGAGCATCTGTTCCTTGAGTTTGGGGCATCATTAAACCCAGGTCCAACATTTGCAGCCAGGGAAGAGGCAAGTCCCTCCACACTCAGGGAAGCTCACCTCAACTGTGTGCCTGGAGGAAGTCATCAAGTAACCCTGCTCTTGGCAAAACACTGATGCTGGTCATGGGTTAGAGTTGTGCCCAACCAGGCTGGTCGGGGGCTCTGGGGTCTCCGTTTGGGGCTGAAGGGGCTTGGAGAATGGATTGATAGAGATGAGAGAGAATAGGGTCTTTGCTCTCACTAAGGTTCTTACTGGCCAAAGGGCTAGACAGGCCTGGAGCTTCAGGGAGAGGAATGATTGGCCAAGCTGCCCTGGGAGGTCCCTCTAAGAGAAGCCCATGGGGTAACCTGTCTTGGGTTTTCCATCATTGCCTGCACGTACCGTGACCGTCAAACCACAACTCATAGCCTGAAACTCATAAGGTTTGACGTTCTGGCAACCCTGAGCAGGGCCAAATATGGGCTCTGAGCTTCTAGTTCATCTAGTGTTTCTCTTCACCTGAATCAGAAGACACTAGTGGTGGGGGGGGGAGCTTGGGCCCTGTGCCCCTAATGATTCTGAGTCCCTGTTCCTCAGAGGCCTGGGGACAGAGGACTGCTGAAAGCCTGGCATTATTAACGCCGTGTCTGTCTTCTCTGGAGTGTCTGTCTGTGTGTCTGATGGTGGAATGACTCAGGAACCTGGGGCAGGGGACATTGAGCTGTGGCTTTTAGATCTGTCACCAGGCTCAAGCCAAATGGCCATGTCTTCAATCTTGGCTATTTTGACCCTAGGAAATGGGGCATAACTCCTATTAGGATACCCTCCAAACACATGTGTGTACATACATATGTGTATACACACATATGTACACTGCTACCTCCCACCCCCCACCCAGGTTTGGACACATGGTGCTTGGGATGACCCACACTGAGCATGTTTTCAGGAAGTGGGGCTCCAAGGAGCAAGACTTCCTGGGAATGCCATTCCCAGGACCAGGGCCTCCCTTTGAGGGTTATGGGATGAGTTCTAAAAGCCTGGCTTCTTGACTGCCACATCCCATGGAGCATGTACTCAAAATGCAAAGGACAGGACTTCTCCGTCTCACGGACTCAGTCACTGGAGAAGGGACCCTGAATTGTGCAGGCTCGACATACAGCCAAGGGATCGTATGCAGAGCCTGAGCACCTTTGTATCCTGGGGTTGGGACTGGAGGGTGAGTTGAATGGGGATCCTTCTCTCCCTCCAGCCACAGGAGGCCAGCCCCATCCTGGCAGCTCTCCATGCTCTATCCACCTGTCTCTTTGTCACTAACCTCTGTTCGTGTCTTGTTCTCAACTTTCCAGCCAGATGTTTAGTAATAAGCGGAGTTTCTTTCGGATCCACGCCAGCTGGAGACCGAGGTACCCCCTCATCTGCTCCTCCTGTCCCCTTCCCTCCTTGCTCCCCCCACTTTAGGGGCTGGAGAAGGGGACAGGATGGGCCAAGGACAAGGTGCATGTGCCTGCCGCCTGCAATCTGCCACGGGGCCCTAAGCCCCCTTGCCTTCCTGGGGATGCTTCACCAGGTTTAGGGCATGGGCCCAGTGTCAGAAGGGACACTCTCAGGAGCTTTGAGGATATGCTGGCTGTGCTGCTGACCCCTGTGTAATCTTGGCCAAATTACTTCTCTTCTTTGGACCTGTTTCCCTTCTGTGGAACGGGCAAGTTGAACTAGAGGCTCTCTGAAGGCCCTTCCCGCTCTGACCTGTGCCAACCTTGGAGTTGGTTCCCTGGCTCTCCACCACTCACCTGGGAAGCCCACAGGTACCCGAAGGAGCTGTGCCCAGTACCTCCATCATCAGTTTCAGAGCCCCAGCTCTTCAGCTGCACCACAGCTACATTTGTGGTACCTGCCCCATGCCAGGCACTGTTCTGTGCACTGGGGAAATGGTGATGAATAAAACATGGTCCCTGGAGAGTTGCAAAGAGTAATTGTGGTTCAGTGCATTGAGTACAATACAAGAAGGAAGCAAAGGGGCTGCGGAGCTGAGGTCAGACATTTAGCCCAGAAGCAGCCCTGAAAGAGATGGCTGCAGGGGGAGGGTCCTCAGGCCAGGGAGCTGCACAGATCAAGGGCAGAGGTGAAAGGGAAAGCATAGCTATGCAAGATGAGCCTGCAGCCCAGTGTGACCTGGGGCCACTGGAGCCACTCTGGGGTAGGACAGGATCATAAAGAACTCGAAGTCCTGTATGAGCCTCATTCTGTTGGCATTCAGGTGGCCTAGGTTTGTGGAGCCTTGTGGTTGGAGATAGAGCCAGGCCAGAGACAGCCATCCTTAGAATTGTCATTTCAGGCCACCACTTAGCTCCAGTTTGCTAGCTGTATTCTTGTACACAACACCTAGCTTTCTGTGCCTCAGTTTCCTTCCATGTAAAATATAGGTGCTAATGGGGTTTGCGTCTGCTAAAATTGACTGGCTCCTGTAAGTGTAAGTTGGCCTCATTCAATGTAGTGTGTTTGTCGGTTAAGAAGGCCCCTGGGGTGTGGCTTTGTTGGTAGAGTGCTTGCCTAGTATGCATGAGTTTGCTTCCTAGCACTGCATAAATTGGATGTGGTGGTGCATGCCTATAATCGCAGCACGCAGGAGGTAGAGGCAGGAGGATCAGAAGTTCATGGTTATCCTTGATGGCATATCAAGTTTCAGGCCAGACTGAGCTACATGAGATTCCATCTCAAAAATTAATTAATTAATTAATTAATTAATTAATTAATTAATTAAAAGCCATGCTTTTGGAAAGTACTTTGGAAGCCGAGAAGGGTGTAGCTTTATGGCAGACCTTTCAAGTTCTATCCCCAATCTTGAAAAAAGAAAAATCAAAAGCTTGGGATATGTCTGTAGGAAATAGGGACTCCCTGAGGGTGACACTGGGGAGAACGGGCTACACCTGCCCTTCTGCAAGTGTAGGTTGGAGGAACAACCAAGGTGGAGAGGGCCAGTGGTAAGGCTGCTTCTTCGTAGTCCCTGAAGAGGGGCTGTGTGGGGCAGCACAGGGATGCTGTCTGCCTTTCTCAGAGTTCCCTATGTCTGGGTTTTCAGGGCAGTTGGAGAGCAGCCAGTGAAGGGTTTACCCCGTCCTTCCTCTCCCCCCACATCTTCCCCCCCCCCACGCACCAGTGCCACCACTTCCCATCCTCCCAGGCACCAACAGCCCCCTTTTTCTCTACCTCAACATTGTTGACATTTTAATCTTAATGATTCTTTTGCTGGAGCCTAGGGCATGCATCTTGGGATGCTGGACAGAATTTCTGGCTTCCACCCATGATGTACCAGCACAGCAGCTTTACGGAGTGAAAACGCACAGTGTCTCCATTGCCGGGTGCCTTCTAGTGGGCAGGATGGCCCCCAGCTGAGGACTACTGCCTAGTTCCCACTCTGAACTCTTGTCCTGGGAAAAGGGCAGTCTCTAAAGTCAGAGAATGGATACTGACCTTGTTCTTATTTTAGATAAATAATTTCTCTCTTTCTGCATCTATAAACTAGGGGTGACGAATTCAGGAGCCCCACGAGGGGGGCTTAGAGGCCTAGATGACCCCAAAGCCTGCAGATGGATCTCATGTGCTCTAAGGAGCCTAGGAAGAAAGAGATGTTTGGTGCCTACAATGTGCCAGGTTTCTTTCCATTTTCTTTGAGCTTTTAGGCTCCAGAGAGGCTGATGTGAGCCTTTTTCTGGTCCCTGCCCAAGGAGCTGGAATCCAGGGCTGCTCAGGGGGAAAACAGTGTCTTCTTGCATTCAAGAAGAGCCAAGACCTTTGGCTGGCTGGAAAGTTACAGAATCCCTAAATCAGGCCAGAAGCTTCCTCCACCACCACAGACTCAGAGCCAGAAAGGGACTGTGTAAGGCCCCTAGTGTAAGCCTTCGCCCCCTTCCTCTGAGAGTCCTGCCAGCTACAAGCATAGCCTTGTTGTACACTTCAGTAACACTGAGGCCATGCTTCCCCAGAATGTCAAGGAGAGATCTGGAGTTCCAGTCCTTGGACCGAAGTGCAAGGACTTCACCAGTTTCCTCCCCTTCTCTCCCCATTGGAGGAGCAGAGGACAGGGTCTTGCATGGCCTGGGTGGGTGTGGGTGCTTGCCAGCATGAGGAGAGCCCACAGGAATGGTTCTGCAGGGGCAAGTTTGAGAAAGCCACACTCAAACTTCTCTTGGAATCATTGGGGTGTGTCAAAGAGATCCCAGGAATGTGAAGAACATGATGGATTCCTTCTAATAGCCCTAGGCTCCCAACTTGTGACCTATAACCTCTCCCCCTAGGCAGGGTCTCACTCTCTGGCTGGCCCCACATCTGGGCCATCTTTCCCAAGGTGTCTCTGGTTTGGTGCATTCCCCTGCCTCACCACCCTGGCTCTGCTCTCTGCTCCATGCCCTAGGCATGGGGGACCCCACCTCCCACATAATACAAAAACCAGATTTCGTCATCCTCACAGCCATTGATCTGAAAACCCCCAGGCAGGTGCTAGGACCCCCCCTTTTCACATCTGCCCCCTCTCAAGCCTTGTCTGAACCTGGCTGGTGTTTTCCTGCACTGTGGCTCTAGATACTTGGAGTGAGGACCTCTGGACCTGTCAGCAAGGGCTCTCCAGCAGAGCAGAGGAAATGGTGATAACCCTGCAGGGTGTGGGATGGAGGAGGTTTAGGAGGTTTGCTGAGGTCTTACCAACAGCATAGCATGGTTCTTGAACCTCTTGGACACAGAGTTACTCTACCAGGTACTGGCTAACTGGGGCCTGTCTGAGGGAAATGGAGGCCTCCTCCTATTTGTCCTCCAAGGTTTGGGGAAGTGCTGGGGAGCTGGGCGCAGGAAAAGAAGTGAAAGCAAACACCCTTACACACATGTGTGTTCACAAGCACACAGATAGGTGAGTAGCCAGAAAGGCGGGCCTTCCTGGTGTGTTAGGACAACAGTCTTGGAAAGCAGAACTCAGACAGGGAGCCCACGAAAGCACAGGAGAACAGACTACGCAAATCCTCACTGAGGGGACCAGCACCTGAGGTGTCGTAGACATTCAGATCCTCAGCAGGCCACCATATCACACAGTGCCCCCCACCCCCTACCCCCCCCAACCCCGCTAACAATGTGGAAATCTGGGATAGAGACCTTAGTTTGCCCTGTTCTATTTATGCAGCTGTGCCTGGTCTTAAAACCAGGACCTGACCAGTGTGGGATAAGATAGCTCCAGCAGAGAGGGGAGGGGGGAGTTAATGGATACATGTGTACACACATAGGTGGCTGTGTACCCAGGTACACATTACACACACTTTATCACTTCCACAAAGCCAACCCCTGTGAACAATGTGGCCCGGAGCCTTGCTCTGTATGCCTGACCAGGTGAGCAGTGTGTCTGTGCCCACAGGGGTTGCTACCTCCACCCTCCACCCTCCACCCACCTACCTGGGCTGGTCCTGGATCCTCTGGCCTCCTGTCTCTCACTTCCTTCCGGTTTCTCTCACTGCTTTCACTCTGACATCTGTCTCCTGTGTACCCCTATCTGTCTGGGGAGGGGAGTGGGAAAAAGTGGTGTGGGGCTGGGGAAGGGATGTGTCCCCATTGACCCATCTAGCTTCCTGTAGGCATCAGGGCCCCTTGTCGCACGGAAGGAAAATAACTGGTGGGGAAATCCAGACCCAATAGCCACCCCCTAGATCGGCTAGGTCAGCTTTGTTTCCATCTACCTGCTTCAGCACCAGCTAACTTGACTCTTTCCCTGGCCTGCCCTGGCCTGCCAGCAGCCGGATGGGTATCAAAGACCGCATCCGAATGAGCAGCTCCCAAAAGAGGACAGGACCCTCCAAGCAGCACCTGGCACCCCCGCCAATGCCCACCTCGCCAAGCAGTGAGCAGGTGGGTGAGGTGTCCAGCCCCAGCAAGGTGCAGAAGAGTTGGAGCTTCAATGACCGCACCCGCTTCCGGGCCTCTCTAAGACTCAAGCCCCGCAGCTCTGCTGAGGGTAAGCCCCGGAGCTTGAGTGCATCTGCTGCTGGTGGCAGGGGCGGGGGCCACTGGGTCAGATCATCTGCTCTAGGAAATGGGCATCATAGCGTCTTTGCTATAACCCAGTCTTCAGTCTGTAAGATAATCAAATGAGAATCTAGAGGGGGAATTTGGCAGAGGTAAGAGCATAGGATTGGAACCAGGCTTGTAAGCATTGAATCCCAGCTTTGTCATTTACAGGGTTTTTTTTTTTTTTAATTAAATTATATTTTACTTGTTTATTGTGTGTATGTGTCTATATCTGTGGGAATGGAAGTCAGAGGACTGGCAACCTGTAGAAGTTGGCTCCCTCCCACATAGGTCCTGGGGATCAAACTTGGTCATTAGCCTGAACGCTAAGCACTAGTATCCACTGAGACATCTCACTGGTCCTCGTCATTTATTTTAGATAAGTGAGCACATCGCTCTGAGTCCCACTTTCCTCATCTGTAAAATGGAGACAATGATAGTATGTATTCCAGAGAAAGATCTGAGGAGTAGTGAGGTGATCCTCGAAAGTCCAACAGGAGAGTGGAATGCATAGTAAGTGCATAGCAGCAGCCAGCTCTCAAGGCACTTTGGAAGGAGTCACAGCCCTGTGTGCAGCTGCCCACTGGACAGTCTCCATCACTTCTCCTAGCTACCCTGTTTTGCTTCCACTCTGTAGACATGGAAACTGAGACTCTCAGCATAGGAGTGGAAGAGCTCTTATCCTGAAGCAAGGCTGGCCAGCACTGCTCCCTGCTTTCATCTGTACCAGCCTGACCTGCTGCCACTGCGGGTGGGGGGTCTGTCACTGGCCATTTCTCCACTGTAGGAAGACGGTCCCTTTGTGTTCTAGCTCTTCACTAGGACTTACGCAAGAGGCTGCTCTGTTCTGTGCCTCGGTGTCCTCTTCTGAAAAATGGGAGGGCTGTATGGGGGTCTCCTGACAGAGCCCTATGCCCCTGCTGAATGTACTTGTAGGTTCTTGGTAGAGAAAGAAAGGGTAAACGTATCCATCGCAGATGAGGACAGGGTGCTATGGAGGATGAGGGCAGGATGCTATAGAGGGTGAGGACAGGACTCTGTGAGGATGAGGACAGGGTGCTCCTGTTGTTCTCAGAGGGGAACAAAGCTTCTGCCTGTGCTGTGCCAAGATGCTGAGGACTGGGGACTCAGCCTTTCCTGGAAAGTTACCGCACATACAAACCAGTGGTTCTTTGAGAGGTCCTGATCCACGGAAGCCTCTCATGGAGGTGCCTTGGATCTCCTTCCTCCTGTGTGTTGAGGAAAGTACACCCTCCTGAAGCACAGGGTACCAGTCTCTGAGAAGCCGTTTCCCCTTTAAGGGCCTTCCTTGTAGCAGATCTGGGCAGGGGCTCCAGCTGGAGTTCCCTCCTTCCCAACCCCCCTGGCTCCCAACTGGAAGAAAAGACCACGCAAGACTCTATGAAGAACATCAAATAAATGCCTTTTCCCTGGGGCTTCCTGCCCTGCCAGGAATAACACACAGCATGTCCTCCAAGGCTGTGTACATCACCGTTGTCCCAGGCTAGACCAAATGTCCTCTAAAGCAGCTGCTGCTCACCTGTCACCAGGCAGATGTCTGCCCTGCCCAGTCCTGGAAGAGGCAAAAGCATAAGGAACGCAGGGCAGTGAGAGGCAAGAGTGAGGCAGAAGCCTGGTCTGCCTTGGGGCTCGGGAAGGCCCTGGGCCCTTTGTACATTTCTGTCCTATTATTAGTACTGCTAATGGAGATGGGGACTGGAGCATTTTCTTCTCTACTCCTTGGCCCTCACATGCCATTCCTGTCTTTCCAGAGGGCCCCTCAGAGGAAGTAGCTGAGGAGAAGAGCTACCAGTGTGAGCTCACGGTGGATGATGTCATGCCTGCTGTGAAGACAGTCATTCGTTCTGTCAGGTGAGGCTGAAGCCCAAGGTGAGCAGCTCTCCCACCTGCCACCCGTCACTGCTCCCCATCTGGGCCTGTCCTCATGGCCAGGCCTGGCGTAGCTCCCGGGGTGCCAGCTGCTACCTGCCTGGAGTGCAGGAGGTGTGGGCAGGGAGCATATGGCTTCCAGCACCGTTTGCTCCTACACAGCACACAACATGTCCGGAGGGCCTGGCCCCAGTGGCCAGTGACACAGCTGCCCATCAGTGTCTCTGCCCTTACACATACCATGTCCTCCCCACATCCCACCTCAGCCTCTCTGCTTCCCCTTCCCCTCTCTCCTTCTCACACTGTGTGGCTTGCCTCTTTCTTTTTCTCTCCAGAGCAGTACCAGAGACACCTGACAGCCTCTGTTTATGCTGCGCATGTTTTTCTTCCTGTATCTCAGTCCCAAGTTCCTTTTGTCTCTATTTCACAAACTCTTTCTCCCTGGGTATCTTGGCCTCTCTGTTTCTCCTAGGACATCCTCAACGAAACTGTCAGTGTGTCATGGTCAGCATTAAGATAGATAGATAGATAGATAGATAGATAGATAGATAGACAGACAGACAGACAGACAGACAAAAATAAAGCTGGGCATAGTGGAAGTTCTATGTTCCTAACACTGGGGAGGCAGGAGCAGGAGGATTGGGAATTAAAGGTCATCCTTGGCTACATCGACAGTTTGAGGGCTACAGGAGCACTTGCTCCAAAAACCAAATAAAAGAAAAAAAAATATGAGGCTGAATGTCTAATACTCAGGGTGATTATGCTTAGGAACTTTGTATTTCAATCTGTGTGTGCATTCACACTAGTTTGCACAGAGTAAGGTGTATTCTTTATTTGTTCTTGGTCAAACCGTTTAAAAGCCATGACATACTGACTGCTGTGACAGTTAAGCAGGGACTGGTCTCCTGTACCCTGCAGCCCTGCCCAGTGTGGATCTGGCCTTAGCATCCTGGCCAGGAGTCCTGGCTGGGTCTCCATTTCTAGTCTGCAGCTGGGCTCTGGAGGCCAGGGAAGCTCAGCTCCCTTACTCTGTTTCCTGGCTCAGGCACCTACCCACAGCCTCTTGTATTCCTTTTGTAATCAGCCAGCTGGGTCCTCTGTTCCTCCCCAACCCCAGCCCCCCAGAGTCGGGCCTTTCCTCACCTCTTTGCATACATCCTGTCTCTCCCTTTCTGTGACCACCATCTTGGATACAGTATCTGAGCTGTGAGGGTCAAGCTAGCTCTCTTTGGCACCCTTATAGCCCCTGCTCCAACACAAACACACACACACACACACACACACACACACAGAGAGAGAGAGAGAGAGAGAGAGAGAGAGAGAGAGAACACCCCCAAACTGCTCTTCAGCCCACTTCCCCAAATCAGGCAGTTGATGTCATTACCTACCCTGTCAGCCATAGGAGTCAACTTAAATTTGGACTTGGAAGTCTCTTGTCTGGCTTATGTTGCTCAAATCTGTCTCCTCCCTCCATCCCACTGACCCTTCCCAGCTCAGGCCCATCCTAAGAACTGGTCTCTGTGCCTAGATCATGGAGCATCCCAATACATTCTCTCCAGAAGCTGGCAGAGCAAGCATGTTGAAGCAGAGTGGGGGCTCCTCCCCAGCCCTGTGCCTTCTCTGTGCAGTCCCCACCCCAAGCCTTAGTCACAGCTAGCTAGGCCTGTCTTCTCACACTGCCCACAACCCGGGGGGTTGGCTCCCTTCTCCTGCTCCTGCCTCTCAGAGCCTGTTTCTGGGAAACTCCTTTCCTCTTGCCCTGGGCTGGAAAGCACCACTTAAGGCTCTGCCTGCCGAGGCCCTCCCTTCTCATGGTTCCTAGATCTCCTTTCCAATTCTTTGAATATGGCTCTTGTCTCCTCTCCACTGCACACATCCTCCCAGCCTCCCATGCTAGACCTGGGCTCTCTGTAGCCAGGGATTGAGTCTAACTCTCTTTGGTTGTCCAAGACACTGCACACAACTGCCAAGTATCAGCAGCAGCAGTTGATGTTCTAGAAGCTCCATGTCCCACTGGGCTGAGAGACATTGAGTCCATTCCCTGCCTCCTCAGTTAATGGGACTGTAGAGGCAGGCGTAGGAGAAATCACCAAGCCAGTCTGTGGGCCTGCAGGGCCAAGGGGAGCCTGGTGGGTAGGTAAGGAGGCCAGGGGGACACAGCAGAGAGTGTTTGAAGTGGTCCAAGCAGATGGAACAAGAGAATCTGCCAGAGATCCCCTCCTCTAACAGGATTCTGAAGTTCTTGGTAGCCAAAAGGAAATTCAAGGAGACACTGCGGCCGTATGATGTGAAGGACGTTATCGAGCAATACTCCGCAGGGCATCTGGACATGCTGGGGCGGATCAAGAGCCTGCAAGCTCGGTGGGTATGCAGGCTGTGAGAAGGGAGCTGGGTAGCGAGTTGAGGGTGGGTCCTGGCCCAGCTGAGAAGGCTAAAATGTATCAAGTCATCTGTGCTCTGTGGGGGCACTGCCCAGGTCAGCAAGGTCCTCCAGGAGGCTTACTGGCCTACATCTGTAATCTCACAGGCCGGAAGGACCATGAGTTCTAGGCTAGCCTGGGCTATGAGATTCTGCTTCAAAAGAACAAAGAAATGAGAAAACAAACCCAGACCAAAAGATCCCAGTTGATAGGCTGCTTGGAAGCGGAGAAACAAAACAACAACCTCAGTTATAGTTCTCTGGGAGAGTCCAGTCTGTATTCAGGCCTTGACAGTTTCCCTAGGATGCCTGTCTTCAGGTCCTGAGGTGACTGGCCTACAGTAGCCACTGACTTCTCGCCAGTTGCAATGTGAAGTTACCTTTCCATTCTTGCCTCTAGAATCCTGCATGTCCCCTAGGTCCAGGGTTAAGGAAGAACTTTTACATCAAGTCCCAAATTGCCTGGAGCTTCCCTTTCTCGTGTGCCCCCCACTTTCTCACTGTGTGTTCATTCATTAACTCAAAAGATAACAGTCAAGGTGGGGCATGGTGGCGCACACCTTTAATCCCAGCACTGGAGAGGCAGAGGCGGGTGGTCTGTGTAAGTTTGAGGCCAGCCTGGTCTGCATAGCGAATTCCAAATCAGCCAGGGCAACATAGGGAGGCCCAGTCTCAACAACAGCCATAGTACTGGGGGCTTGGGCGGGGGAGGCTAGAGGCAGGAGGATCAGTGGTTCAGCCTTCGATATTTAGAGAGTTCAAAGCCAGCCTAGGTTACAAGAGACCCTGTCTGAAAGGGAAGAAGTAAAAGATAAAGAGAGAAAAAAAAAAAAGAACAAGTATTATGTGTGGGAAGAAAGAGTGATCAGATGTGACCTCTTCTGCTCTTTGCTGTTAGGTTAAGTAAATAAAGACTGAGTTGATCCAGCAACATGGAGCTCACTCGGGGGAGGGGAAACCTGACTAGAGTGGCTACAAAAGGAAAGGAAACAGGGCTGCCGGCAGTGAAAGTCCTGCATAGGGTGGGATTGGCTCTGGCCTTGTCCATCTTCCAACATTCCCTTTCCCAGCCCAACATTCCCTTTCCCAGCCCGTCATTTCTCACCTTGGAGGCCCTGCTTGTTATTTGGAGAACTCTCAAAGCAAAGGCTGGTGTCTCCCAGCCTCAGTCTCCCTTGGGCAGGGAAGTGGCCTCTTCCCACCAGAGTGGTCTGTCTTCCCTGTCAGCTGTCAACCAAGGGCTCTTGTGGAAGGGAGGCGCGGTGTGAAGCAGCCTCTTTGCTACTTTCCCTCCACAGAGTGGACCAAATCGTTGGTCGAGGGCCTGGGGACCGCAAGACTAGGGAGAAGGGCGATAAGGGGCCTTCGGAAACAGAGGCAGTGGATGAAATCAGCATGATGGGGCGCGTAGTCAAGGTGGAAAAGCAGGTGAGTGTAGGAAGGACTTCCACCCGATGGCTGAAATAGCTGTCAAGAGTACAGCTCTGTTGTAGTACAGAGTCTTGGCCCCTGGAGGCCCTAGTAAGGGCCTACATGTTGAGTTCTGCTTGGCCAAGCTCCATCCCACAAACAAGCCCAAGCTCCAAGAAAGCCCACTCATTCTTGAATGATCCCATGGGGTAAGCCAGTCCTAACCAAGCCTCCTACCTGGTATGCTTACCTTTTCCAAGCCCCGCCTCCTATGTAGCCCCGCCCACTGAGCTCAGTCCCTGCTCTGTCCAGACCAATCCCTACCCCAGTGGTGCCCCATCCTTGGGTCAAGCACCACCTCTAGCTTCGCCCCTCCTTGCCCCCTCCTCCAGGTCCAGTCCATTGAGCACAAGCTGGATCTACTGCTGGGCTTCTACTCGCGCTGCCTACGCTCTGGCACCTCGGCCAGCCTGGGTACCGTGCAAGTGCCGCTCTTTGACCCCGACATCACCTCGGACTACCACAGCCCTGTAGACCACGAGGACATCTCTGTCTCAGCACAGACGCTCAGCATCTCTCGCTCAGTCAGCACCAACATGGACTGAAGGGCTTCTCGGGGGCTGGGCAGCCTTCGGTCTGCCCCTTGGACTCACCCCGAGGCCTCTAGGACTCCTCTTTTACTTGAACTCGCTCCCTGGCAGGGAGAGAGGCCATACACAGTATTGAGCTGTCTGAGTGGGCAAGATACCCGATGCCAGCCAGGCCAGCGCCCCAGGAGCATGAAATGCCAGGCCACGTGGTAGGCTACTGTAATGGCTGACTAGAGGCCTCTGGACACTCCAGGACCCTGCCGGCTCCATCAAGGCTCAATATGGCCTGCCTGGCAGGGGCTCTGTCCCGGGAATGGGAACAGGGCGCTGGGGCCCTGGTCCCTGAACCAGCTTCTAGCTATGCAAGGTGAGGTCTCCAGGCCCGCCCTTCCAGGCAGAGCAGGGAAACCCTCCTGCCAAGCCCTGCCCCACTTGGGGATGGGCCCAAGGTGCCCCCACAGGTGCCCACAAAGCACAGGACTCTGCCATAAGGTAGATGGGCACCATATATGCAAACTATGTTAAATATGCAACTTTGGGGGACCCCCATGGGGTTCCTCTGCCCCTCCCCCACTGGGAGATGGGCCCCAGCAGTAGCTGGTCTCAGGCTGCTTGGCCATACCCAACCTCCACTCTTTGGCTTATCATCTATCCCCCACCTAGCATGGGGCCTAAGTCTCCCTGTGCTCCCCCAAGGGCAGTACCTGGGTCTTTCTGCCCCTTTCAGGTGTCACCCCAGAGTCTCCCCCTTGCTGCTGGATATCCACTCCTACTGGTCTTCCAGGCAGCTTTGACAGTCAGCACAAGTTCTTGTATTTTGCCCAAACCAACCAGACAGTGGCCCACCACCAGGGACACACGATGCCCCTTTTATTTCCCCAGCAGAATGCCTAACATAGTGACACACAGGACCACACACACTTGGAGGCGTGAACACAAAGCCACTCAGTCTCCTGGGCAAGAAATGGAGCATCGGAGCATCTCTGTATGTCCCCAGGCCCAGCCTCAGTGTTTTACTTGCTCCCCTCAGGAGTCCTTTAGCTGCCCTGAGGACTGCGTTGGTGTCCCACAGCATAACTCAGGCCTAGGCCTCCAGATCATACACACCACTGGAGAGAACCCCCCCCCAGCACGCCTTCTTCCCAGTCCCAGAAAGAACACACAATCCAGTGCTACCCCAACTGCAACTGGCTGTCACCTGCACTGGCCTCTGCTCTACTGTCTCACTCCAATTGGCAGCACTGCATATTGTCACAAAGGCCCAAACACCGCAGGCCCCGGCACCAGCTTTGGATTCCCACTCTTTGTCCCTCTTCTGCAAAGCCAGTGTGGGTGGCAAGACAGTGAGGGGTGGTGGACGGATGATAACACTCTGGGGGTGTTTGGGAACGAGGAAGGGGCTAAGGCTGAATGTCTGCATCTCACACTGGGACCTGCATGTACCAGTGACAGGGCTTGGGTTGAATCTTGCGCAGCCCTATGGTGCCCGATCTCTGCCCAACCATCTGCATGTACCATCATGCCCTGGATGGAGCCCATCCTGGCTCGCCTCACTTGCATTGCGCTGTCCCCAGAGAGCCACTCCACCCCCTCAGAGACAGAGCTGTGGAGAGGGGCTGGAGAATAAGATTACCCTGTGACCAAAGGAGACATGGGAAGAAGCCCTCCCCCCTCCCACGATCGAGGCTCCCCCACCAACCCGGTTCTCAGATATGCAAGTACCTCACTTTGTTAACTTATTAACTTATTGGTTTCATTAAAGTTTTCAGTAGGAAGTGATTGGTCCTGGTTGTGCTTAGTGACTGAGGGCTGAGGCTCCTGATTTGATGGTAGAAACAAGATTTGGAATTATTCTAAAACATAAAAACCCAACTCCATGCGGCTCAAGCAAAAAGAAAAGACACATTATTCCAGATAACTAAAGCATCTAGGGGAATAGATTTGACTTCATAGACAGGTAAATCTAGGTGCTTGAACACATGCTAACCCCTCTGCTCGGCTTTCCTCACAGCTGATCTTTTCCTGCTATTCCTTTTTGTTAAAGTCATTCCAGAAACTCTTGGAATTTAATGATGACCACAGACCCCCCCTGAACAGTCAATAACCCTACACACCAACCCACTCATATCCCACAGCCATATGACTGTCTCCCACTAAATGAGACAAAGCTATGCTTTACACAAACAAGATCCTTCTCTATCCCCGCAAAAGGGAAAAACACAGCCTTAAAAAAAAAAACATTTTATTTGTATTATTTTTAGATGTATTATTTTTATGTGCAGGTCTGTGTGGGTATGTGCTTGCAAGTGCTCCTTGGAGGGTAGATGTTCCAACCCCCCTCCCCCAAAGCTGGTGCTGAACTCTGATCCTTTGGAAGAGCAGTGCACAGTCTTAACGACTGAGCCATCTCTCTAGATCCCAAGCTTCAGTCTAACAAAAGCATCCATCTTCAGGAACTAGCCAAACAACCCTTATTGGGATGGTGTTAACTACTGTGATTCAGTGGCAACCCTACATGCAACCAAGCACTGACCTCACACTACAGTCTTTCAGGAGACTGTCCACAAAAGGACCACTCTTGCTCCAAAGGGAAAAAGGGCTTCTTCTGAGCCAAGTATGAGTGACCATGGCTCAGGAATACAAATTCAGGTTGCCCTGAGTGACATCTTTATTGTGGAAGCAGTTACATGAACTTTTATAGTCATAGACCAAAAGACAGACATAAATCAATGCGTTTATCAGATACATCGCTAGGGACAGCAGGTGGATGGGAACCAGTGAATCGGGGACATCTTTGCAGAGGCTTCACATTTGATCTGATGACATTCCTAACTTTTGAACTGGTGGAAACTAGAGCTTGGAGATGATAGTTTCCAAAGTTTTTACCTAACAACCACAACTTTCTTTTTCTTCCTCCTTCTTCCTCTCTCAATCTCCCTCTCCCCACTCCCTCTCCATCCTCCCCTTTCTCTCCCCCTCCCCTGTTCTCTCCCCTCTCCCCTCCCCACTTCGGTCCCTGGGGCTGCATGAATCCCAGGCTGGTCTCAAACTCATAGCTAAGAATGACCTTGATTTTTCTGATGCTCGTACCACCACCCCCCAGGATGCTCCACTACAGTCAATTTATAAGGGACTAGTGACCAAACCTAAGGTTTCATGGATGCTTGATAAGTACTCTGCCAATGGAATTACTTCCCGGCCCAGAGAGCAGCAACTGTATAAGTTAATTTTCTCATCTTTTAACTGCAGCTGACAGAACAACTTAAAAGATGGGAGGGGTGGGAAATGTCTCATGGTCTCACACAGTGTAGCCTATCCTGGTGGGGCTTGGCTGAGTTCATGGCTTTGGAAGCACATGGCTTTTATATCTTGTCAGAGCAGTAACCAAAGGCCCCAGGCTGGAAGCTGGGGTCTAATAACCTATAGCACAGAACTCGCAAGCTCTGCTTCTGTGGCCATGTGCATCTGTCGGCTAGGTTCTCTGTCCAAAAAACTCCACAACTCCCCCAAACAGCGCCACCCTCTGGACCAAGTATTCAAAAGTAAAAGCCTTGCGCAGAGCATTTACATTCAAAACATAACAGTGATAAATGGCGATTAGATTAAGGGGACTAAAGATAGTACAAGATAATTGTGGCTCTTGATCGGCAGCATTCCAAACTCCACAATCAGGGTTCCAGTCAGTTTGCAGTCTTCAACACAGATGTGGCTTTTAAAGGGAACTTTAGTTCATGAAATGGGGGGGGGGGGAGGTGCAGGAAGAAATTAATGCTATTGAAAAACAAAAGCAAAAAAAAAAATTAATGCCACAACATCCCAAGCAAAGAAGAAGGCATGCGTTGCTACTATAGACTTTTCCCCCCTCAGTGGTAACTGGTCTTTCTTAAAGACACGTTTCTTTATCCAAAATGTGCAATGGCTGGTATATAATTTATTAATCTTTACCTACCCCCTTTTTTTGTTCTCTCCCACTCCCTCCATTGGTTAGGGTTTAATGGTTTTTTAAAAAAGATTTATTTCTTGTGTATGGTTATTTTGCCTGTGTGCTCCCATGTACCACATGCTTGCCTAGAGCCACAGGAGGGTGTTGGATCCTCTGGAACTGAAGTTACAGATGATTGTGAGCCATCATGTGGTTGCTGGGGAACCAGGTCCTCTGCAATGGCAGTCAGTACTCCTACCCATCCTTTCTAGTCCCTGGTTAGGGTTCTCTGCATGGTGAAGTGACCTAAATTATCTCTGAAGGGTCTGAATCCTTAGTGGTCATGCATGGTTTGGGTGTCATAGCTTTCCATTAACTTTTATTGTTGGCCGTGGAAGTAACATAACTATGGGGGTTGGCTGAGGGACCCACTACAGAGACTAAAACTGGAAATTCAGTTTTCGTTATAAAAGAATGTAGCATAACTTATACATATCTTCCTACATGGTTTGATCACCTCTACCTTATAATCCCCAAATACAGTGTAAATGCTATATGAAATAGTTGTTATACCATATTGTTTGTGGAGTGATAATGAAAGAATAGCCTGTTCATGGCCAATATAAATGCAATTATCTAGCTACTTGTCTTCTATCTATCTATCTATCATCTATATTTGATATCCATCTACTCTATCTACAGACCATCTATATGCCTGCCATCTGTTAATCAGTCACCTATCTATCATCTATCCATCCACCTATCTATCTACTTGTCATCTGTCCCCACAGTTTGTTGGACTTATGGATGCAGAACTTACAGACACGTAGGTCAGAGTGTTGACTGTTGGAGGGACCTTAGAGCATCCCCTGGACCCCAGACATAACCTGTCTTGCCCTGATGTGTAGCCCCTCAGCTTCCCCTTGTAGGGAGCAGTCCATGCAGCCAGGGCGTTAACTCTTCCTTTGATTGCCAGTTATGTGGCATGAGGAGGTCAAATGGGATGAAAACTCATCCCTTCTCTTAGAGATAAAGACTTCAAGTGTAGCAGGGGCCAAGCTTATAAGAGCCAAAATGACAAGTTTGGTAAGTGGGTGTAGTAGGTTGAGTAATGGCCACCAAACAAAGGAATTTCTAATCTCTGTAGACTGTCACCCCATAAGGAAAAGGGTGGGAGGGGTATTAAATTGAGGATTTGTTTGTTCAGTGTTTTTCCCAGGGGCAGTCCCACTGTGTAGCCCAGGGTGGTCTCAGAACTCTTTAAGGCTTTTAAAAAATGACAGGTATGCATACGGGAATGCACATGCCCCATCCACAGCACACATGTGAAAGTCAGAGGATAAATTACAGTAGTCATATCTCTCCTTCCACCATGGGGCCTGGGGATTGAACCCACATCATTAGGCTTGGTGGCAAGCACCTTTACCCGCTGAGCCATCTCTCTGACCTAAAGCCTCAAACTCTTGCTTTTCTTGTCTCAGCCTCCCTAGTGCTGGGATTGCAGCCTGAAATTAAGAATACTGACAGGAGAAATTTGTCCTTTGTTATGGACCTCGAGTGTGATTACAAATACTTTTTCTTTTCCTTTGATGAGGTGGCGTTGGTGCTGCTGAGAATCAAATCCAGGGCCTCTCATGCCAGACAAGCGCTCAACCACTAAGCCACACCTCCAGGCCCATGAATGTCTTCCTAAGAGCCAGGCAGAGGGAAACCGTATACCAGAAGAACAGGTGACTTGTGGACAAACACAGAA